GTCCAAGTGCAAAGCCATCTCCAAGGTGCAAATCCCAATGGACGGTGGACCCTTCAAACGATGCATAGTATCTAAAGAAATGGTTTATCTGAACCAAGTATCCAGGGCCTTTTAAGGAATTATGAGTAGGGGAGGGCAGCGTCCCAACGATAAGACCAATCGCAAATATGCATTCACCTAGCCCACCCTCAAATACCGATTATTCTCTCGATTTCGGCGAATATGTTCTTGCGTTCAGGCAAAAATTGGCAAAAGGAGACCTAGTAAAAGGATACAATATCCGATAAAATCAGCGGAAATAGCAGACTGGTAGGCAATAGAATCAGACTAGATTCGGGGGCGGAGCTGAGATTTCTAAGGTGGGGGGACACGCAGCACTGTAGCACGCAGCGCCAGAAATAATACCAATCGTAGCCTTTCCCAAGAGAAACACTGAATTAGGCCTATTCTCCGCTATTGGCCATGATTGTACTCGTTTAAACAGCAAAAGTGTTTAACACTTAACGTGTCATTAAGGCTTGAAAAGCGAATTTAAGCAATAGCTTCAACGGCTGCACTAATACGTAATCGTGGCCGAATGGCTAGCCGATTCATGCGCATCCCAATCCTCAGCTCGACTACATGCGCATGCGTTTTTCAAAAGGTCTAATTTTTCACGGCCGATTGGTCGGATCGGCTAACAGACCTCCGCGGCTAGCTGATCAATCTGCGGCAAGCCGTCTAGCCGCCCTGCCGAAAACCAGCCCTGTTGATCTGAATGAGTAGCTGTCGCTATGCGCAACGAAGCCACCGCAAAACATCGATTTCATAGGCTGCTGACCGTATATTGACTGGCTTTAGCCCACATCAGTATATATGCAGGAATTGTAATAGAAATGACTCACATGTGATAGCCTGGGGAATTATTGCTGTGTGCGTGCGTGGTGTGTGTGTGTGTGTGTGTGGTGTGGTTGTGTGTGTGTGTTGTGTGTGTGTGGGTGTGTGTTGTGTGTGTGTGTGTGTGTGTGTGTGTGTGTGTGTGTGTGTGTGTGTTGTGTGTGTGTGGTGTGTGTGTGTGTGTGTGGTGTGGTGTGTGTTGTGTTGGGAGAGGGTGTGGAGGGGTAACTGAAGGCAGGTAAGCCGGTACAATTTAGAGATTCTTGATGCCACATATTTCCTTGGCCGTAAAGGGCGGATTTGACTCCCCGAATGATGTTAGAAAAGAAACATTCACGTGTCATTACCTTATGACGAAGAACGTATTTTGCCGCACGTTTATACTGTAATGAAGGAGTGCGAAACATGCCAGCTTCGAACTGTGTTAAGAATGTGATGCACAAAAAGGTGTCAAGCTCAACAAGCGAAGAGAATGAAATACGCACGCCCGCAGTGCATACCATTATTGTAAGCATTTCCGCGCAAATATTTATCAACGGATGTGCCACTTTTGCTATCTGCAGCTAAGGCGCCAATAAAACCGTCATATTGTAGATCTCGGACTTGTGCACTTGCTACACTAAGTCATGCCCTTCTTGATAAACTAATTTCACGAGAATTCCGAAGTCTCGAGCAAGGAGATCATTTGCGAAAGCTGAAAGAAATTCGCATCCCAGTCAGCCCAGGATGGATCTTTGAATGTTCTGTGCAAGGAATTTATGTACGCCATTCGCACGAAAAGACCTGAAAATAAGTCATGTACATACATACGACTGGGCTCGACGATGTGCCGACGATGACACCCAAGCAACAACTTTTCACCCTTGCTAACGTGCAAAACACCATGAGTGACAAAGTGCTGACAAACACAAACACGTATGGACTCTCGGCATCAGCACATGGTTCTTCTGAGGCCGTAAGTAAGAGCCCAACATCGCTGCGGAGGCCCTGGAGCGACCAAGACTGCACCAGGGGATTAACATGAAGGTTAATCCCTGGTACAGATTAACATGAATGCTAACAGCGTGGGCTACCAGATAAAATTTGAAACGCAAACACCAATGTGGACGGCGCGTGAGTGATCGAGGGTGTAGCAATAGCCCAACACAGGGACCCGACAACAGGGTAGGTTCCCCCGAGCAAACGGGAGGAGCCCGAGACAAATACGTTGGGTCTCGGAGCGACCGGAAGTCACCTGACAGGTCAACATGTAGGGCATCCGACAGAGCACAGGGGCCCTCGAACAAGCGAGAAGGGCCCAAAACTAATAAGACAGGCCCTCAAGAGGTCGAGAGTGCATTAGTGAATGACTATATATGGACTCCGGCAGCAGCGCAGGGTTTTCTGAGGAAATATGAAGTACCCAAGACCGATGAGAGGAGCCCCAGAGAGCGTCCGGGCAGGTTAATAGAAACGGCTCCCAATAGAAGTGTAGGGTCCTCCGTCAATGGGAGGAAACAGAAAGAGCCCTATATTAATGCATGACCCTTAGCACAGCGCGGGACCCTCCGGCAAGTGGGCAGAACCCGACACCATTAAGAAGGCCCCTGAACCACCAAGAGTACCAGGTAATCATATGGAATCCTTCTTTCCAGCACAGGTGGATCCTGGAGGGGGGGAAGGGCCACGGGGCCATGCCCCCCCCCTCAGACCTCTGAGACTGTGTTTTGCCCCCCCCCAAACATTCCCAGAACTTCACAAAAGTTTCGTCTACTTACCGTCTGTTTTAACTTTAACTGTTTTAACTGTCTTGTTTTAACTTCTGTTTAAGATTCAAAAGCATTTCGGTGCTTTTTTCGGTTTTGAATGGTGTCCCTACTACGTATTTGCGAGAGGCACCATGCACTGGACCTCGGATCCCACACCAGCCAGCTGGCGACGAACGGTTGCCCCCCCCCCCAAAACAAAAGAAAACAACTCCAGGCTAGACCCGCCCCTGCCTGCCAGGCGAATGGAAAGAGCCCGTGAAGGGCCTGAGCGATCGAGAGCGCTGCGACAGGCAAACATAAAGCCCCCAAACATCAGCTTAGGACCCTCCAAGCAAACGCGAAGAACTCAACAGCAGCGAGGAAGGCTTTTCAGCAATCGAAGGTGTCCCGCCAGTCACCATATAGGGCAGCTGGCAATAACATCGCAACCCCCAGGCAGCGTACTGAACTCTGAAAAACTTTCCAACAACGGTCCCTTCAATCAGCCAAACTCATTCTCTTTCGTTCAGTGGGCCGTCACGTTTGCTCTCGGCTTTTCCAGGTAGGCTGGAAGGCGCCGAGGGCGACCGGGCGTTTGCACTTTGTGTTAAAAACCTGCGTCCGTTCAGCCTGGCGTGGCCTCTGTGGGGTCTGAGCCCTTGCCCCGTGGCGCCTCTGGATCCACGATCAGCTACAATGGCTGTGAGTGTGTGTGTGTGCGGGGGTGATATGTAATCAGGGGGTGGGTGATATTAACCGAGCGCTGACGCATTTCTCCAGCCTTTAACGTGTTCCGAAAGGCTCTGCAAATACCAATTCTGGAGGTACTACATTGTCATCTGCTTTATGCTTGGAACCGTGCATATGAAAGCTGCCTAACGTCAAATGCAAATTATTTTCTCTCTTTCTTTTCGAGTCCGTTTAATTTGACGAAGGTGTCAGTGATGCTCCAGTCCACCCACCTCGCTACAAACAACCGGCACAATTCAGTGGCCCACGCCCTGCCAGCAGTGCAAGTTGGGACGGAAGAAACTAAATTCGGAAGAGAAAAAAATAAATAGCTGTCCTTCAAGGACACTACGTTAAATCGATGTTTGGTAGGTAAGCAGTAACCTTTGGAATTATATGCATTAAGACAACTGTTTTCTTTGACCCACGTGGGATTGGCCAAAAAATTACCGTCGTATTGTGTGGGGATAGGGAGGGAAGTGAGCTGACGTAGCAGCTACCCCACTGCCCTTTAAAGGCATGTTTCTCACCGGATCACGCCCACTTTATTTTGAGGAACGGCACAGTTAGTTGTGGTCATTGTACTATGTACTTAACAGAAGCTTTTAAAAGCGTTATAGAGGCCATGGAGGGAAAAGAATACCCTCATAACATTTGTATTGTTCCAGCAATGAGGAGACCCATGACCAACATTGCGAGCCCAAGGCGGGGCCGGGCCCTCACAAAATAATGTCAATCGACACCCCTGATGCCGCGCACGAGCCCTGAGATGGCGTGCCGTTTCGCCTAACCACCGAAGAAGGTCAGCTGGCGACCGGCCAGCCAAGGTCAGCCCGGCCCGTTCGGCCGTGCTAACACTTTCGCCAGCTTGCTGATAGAGGTCTGCTGACAACTGACTGAACGGGTTCACTTGACCCGTACAGCCGTGCCGGAGCATACTGTCCGACACGTTAAATCCGCTCAGACCTGCTGGCAAGAACGCCGCAGGAAAGTTACCCGATGGACGGGATCGGCTTGCGTTTGGAAGTTGAATCAGAATCACGCGGCGAACTCCGCTAAGGAAGTGCTATGAATACTAAGTCATTCCTGCTGAGTATTCAATTGGAAATATACGAGTTCAGAGTAATTATGCTAAAATTATCGACCACGGAAGCTGCCGTAGAAAGGAAGGAAGAACCGAACAGCGCGGAAATGGTGGGACAAAGTGGCGTGTTTCCATTTCAAAGAGCAAGGTTCTAATGCGACCCTGTAGTTCACGTTTGGCTACTGCAGTGCTCACATGCGAACATTTAAGCCTTATCATTTTCAACTTGAATGAAAGGAAACTGTGGCGAAAATTTGCTGTGGCATACATTTCGGAGCAAGCATGTGCACGCATAAATGTTTTGGACAACACGATAAAACATGCTTTGGACAGAACAAACGGACATGTTTTTAACGCATTTTTCGGCAAGTTGGCGAGGTCTCTGCTACACATGTCATATCGTATGCATGCAAACGTTTATGTCCCAAACATATCGGTAGAGATCTGTCACAACGGGAGAGTGCTCAGCGATGATAAATTTCGCCAAATGCACTGAGCATTTCCGCTTTATTTACCTCCCCGCATGGATGACACACCACAAAATACCTTTATAAGACACAGGACGCCACAGAGAGACCACTCACCGATCCCGAGACGTGGTAGTGAGCCACCAGCAGGTACGGCATGGTGAAAAGTGTGGAGTACATGACGCCGGCGCAGGCTGAGAATACTATAACGGCCACCCGGTGTCGCAGCGTGGCCATGAACACCATGCCGACGGCGTACACCAGCTGCCCGCCCACGTACACCGGCCGGGCCCTGTCGCACAGGAGAGGTACGCTGAGTGGAGTACACACCGGCCGCAGGGGAGAGGTACACCGGGCGGGCCCCGTCGCACGGGAGAGGTACGCTGAGTGGAGTACACACTGGCGGCACGGGAGAGGTACGCTGAGTGGGGTACATACTGGCGGCACGGGAGAGGTACGCTGAGTGGGGTACATACTGGCGGCACGGGAGAGGTACACTGAGTGGGGTACATACTGGCGGCACGGGAGAGGTACACTGAGTGGGGTACATACTGGCGGCACGGGAGAGGTACGCTGAGTGGGGTACATACTGGCGGCACGGGAGAGGTACACTGAGTGAGGTACATACTGGCGGCACCGGAGAGGCACACTGAGTGGAGTACACACTGGTGGTAAGGGAGAGGCACGTTGAGTGGGGTACACACTGGCAGTACGGGAGAGGCACGCTGAGTAGGGTAACACTGGCAGTACGGGAGAGGGAGGCAGTACGGGAGAGGCGCGCTGAGTAAGGTACACACTGGTCGCACAGGAGAGGCACACCGGGCGGGCCCTGAAGGTATAGGAGAGAGAAGAGGTACACCACGTGAGGTACACCGGACGGCCCATATGGATCGTGGGGCACGGGGAGGATGCCCACCAATGTGGCATACTGGTGGTGGCTCTGGATCAAGGAGATGCAAGAGGACGAAAACCTGCAGTACCATGTGTCGCAGGACAACTTTTGCCTTATCCTGCACACAAGTCACATCAAAAAGATGCTGTAGATCGCATCAATACAGTGCATCTGAAAATACATCTGAGAATGACCCAGAGGGGTAATCATTGGACTGCAGCCTTTGCTTTGATGAATGAAAAGCTGACGCCATACTCAGGCAACCAAGGTGGCACACGCTACGAATGTCTGTAGTCCTGACCATAGATTGAGGGAAGGTCGGGGGCTAGGACCTTACCTGAATTTACGAACCAATGACTCGATGAGGAATGAGTAGACGGAGCAGGAGAGTGAGTAGATGGCCATGCCCCAGCAACCGAAGCGCACGCCATCCTCGTAAGCAGAGCGCGACTCCGAACCCACTGCAGCCTGTCAGAACCCACCGCAGCCTGTCAGAGCTCACCAACAACCGCAGGCTGTGAGGACCCACCACAGCCTGTCGGAACCCACCACAGCCCGTCAGAGCTCACCACCAACCGCAGCCTGTCAGGACCCACCACAGCCTGTCAGAGCACACGCACTATCTCACCACCTGTCAGAACCCACCACAGCCAGTCAGAGGTCACCAACAACCACAGCCTGTCAGAACCCACCACAGCCGGTCAGAACTCACCAACAACCACAGCCTGTCAGGACCCACCGCGGCCTGTCAGAACCCACCACAGCCTGTCACAGCTCACCAACAACCACAGCCTGTCAGAACCCACCACAGCCTGTTAGAGCACACGCACTACCTCACCACCTGTCAGAACCCACCACAGCCTGTTAGAAAAAGCGTACTACCTCACCACCTGTTAGAACCCACCACAGCCGGTTAGAAAACACGTATTACCTCACCACCCACTGCAGCCAGTCAGAACGCACTACGGCCTGTAAGGGTCCACCAAAACCTATCAGAACCCACCAAAGCCTGCCAGAACCAATCACAGCCTGCCATAACCCACCACAGCCTGTCAGAACCCACCACAGCCTGTCATAATGCGCCACAGCCTGTCACAACTCATCACAGCCTGTCAGAACCCACCACAGCCTGTTAGAGCACACGTACTACCTCACCACCTGTTAGAACCCACCACAGCCTGTTAGAAAACACGTACTACCTCACCACCCATTGCAGCCAGTCAGAACACACCGCAGGCTGCTAGAGCACACGTACTGCCTAACCACCCACCGCAGCCTGTCAGAACACACCACAGCCTGTCAGAACGCACCACAGCCTGTCATGGTCCACCGAAGCCTATCAGAACCCACCAAAGCCTGTCAGAACCCATCATAGCCTGTAATTACCCACCACAGCCTGTCACAACCCACCACAGCCTGTCATAACCCGCCACAGCCTGTCACAACCCACCACAGCCTGTCACAACCCACCACAGCCTGTCACAACCCACCACAACTTGTCAGGACTCACCGCCCACCGCAGCCTGTCAGGACCCACCGCAGCTTGTCAGAAGCCACCACAGCCTGTCAGGGCTCACACCCCCCCCCCCCCTTCCCATAGCCTGTCAGAGCACACTATCCACAACTGCCTGTCAGACCACACACCCCACAACTGCCTGTCAGACCACATCCCCCACAACTGTTTGTTAGAGCACAACCCCCGCAACTGCCTGTCAGAGCACACCACCCGCAGCCGCCTGTCAGAGCACATCATCCGCAACTACCTGTCAGAGCACACCACCTGTAATTGCCTGTCAGGCCACATCACCCACACCTGTCTGTCAGAGCAAATCACCCAACGCTGCCCGTCAGAGCATACCGCTCACCACTGTCAGTCGGGGTGCTCCAAAGGGGACGGTGAACAACGCCCAGGTCGCAAAACAGGGCTCCGGGCGCCAGCGGCATCATGCACGTACGCCTCTGTTTCCAAAACCCCGTTTAAATTGAGTGATCACATCTGCATGGGGTTTTGAACCGAAATTGTCATCTTGAAGATCATCCGGTGCAGCTTACAGCCCTGACCTTCTTAAAACTTGAAACCCTCTGGTTTCTGAGCCACATGTCCGCGAAGATGTACAGACTATTTCAGTGAGACTATTTCAAGGTCACTCAGGCATCCATGACGCCATAATAACGTCATACACATTCTACTGTTCCATTGGTCGTGAGGTGATCAAGGCCAAGAAAATATAACCGCCAAGTCGTTCATATCTGGCGCTCATGAACGCGATTTCCAGGTAAAACGGCCGTCAATTGGCTCTCAATCAATGTTGTGCAAGGTACGGTGACGGGATCAAACAATGACGCATTGAGAAGCATATTTACTAAAAACAGACTTTGTGGTGTCCGGACTAGTCTGTTCCAATTAAAAGTACGTCAGTCGCTGTAAGCAAGCTCATTTCATCATATCTGACACTTGCTTCAATATCTTCAAATGTGGAACATCCCCTTTAAACATTGTAACTGGGCGCTACCAGTGAACTTCATGTGCGTATAGCGACATATAACTGCCACCAACTCTTGACACATACCTGCAGCATAAAGCACGCAGTAATGCGTGCAGCGGATTCAAGCATTAAACAGATATAGGTATGCTGGCCCCATGACATAGTTGGAATAATATTGGAATACCAGGGCTTCCTTGACCATTCGTAGAGCTTCAGGGATATTTCGGAACCCCGGCGTGTAAACAAAAAACACATCATAACTGAACAGTATTCAGTCGACCGGAACGGCGTGGGACTGACACAGCTCTAGTTTTGCCGAAGCCTTTCTATTTGGCAACGCCCGTTCGCCCCTGGCACTGAGGCAGGCCTCACCTGGGGGTTCCCGCCGAACACAGCCTCGCCCACAAAGTCCGTGAAGTAGAGAGAGTAGCAGACGAGCGACATCCAGCAGAAGAGGTTGGTCACGCACAGCACCCGCAGCGAGGCCGGCATGTAGACGATCGACAGGAGGTACTCCTTCAGCGTCACCCGCGGCTCGTCGCCCGGGCTCGGCAGCTCCGGCACCTGGCGGCACGGCGGCCAGAACTCAGCCTCGGCCGCGCTACTGAGTTGTGGCATACAATGGCGCAGATTTACCATAAATCCCACCGAGAAGGAACGCTTGCGTTGGTTGGTTTCTTTACATTTGGTGGTTCATGGGAATTTCGAAGACGCAGTTTACGTCAAACTAAGTCTGGATCAACACATCATGAGCATAACACAATACGATGACGACGAGAACGGGCTCCGCCCGCGTAGGTTATTCGCATCCGTATATACTCCCTTGCGCCACAGTCTGGCAAGTAGGTCGGACCGTTTCAGCAATGCACAGCTCTCCAGGCTTCGAAGTTTGAGCACCTTATCTTTCGAGTTACGCTAGTACACCACACATACGCCAGATAAGCGCATCAACGCGAAACCCGCAATGGATCAGGAAAACAGTGGCCGCTTTTTTACAGGTATTGACCACAGTTGTGAGGGATTTATTTGCTGCTGACCGGTACGCCCCCGCACCTGCCTCCTCTCTGCAGCGGGCCGCACTGCGTCGGCGCTGCACCGACCTTGGGGCGGGAGGGCTGCGGGGTCATGAAGCTGGTCTCGCCCAGGTCGGTAGCGGCGGGACTGGTGTCGCCTGTGACGGTGCCGTAGGAGCGGGGCGCCTCGTCCGCCGGGTTCACCGTCAGCATCACCTCGCCCTCCCCGACGTTCCTCTGCAAACGGCGGCAGCCAGCAGTGAACGGCGATGGAGACGGTGCGTGCCAGCAGCAACGGTACCGTCAGCATCACCTCGGCCTCCCCGGCGCTTCTCTGCAGACGGCGGCAGCCAGCAGTGAACGGCGATGGGGACGGTGCGTGCCACCAGCAACAGTACCGTCTGAATCACGAGGTCGTGTTTGAATTTGACCACACGACTTGAACGTTGTGAAACAGACCACTGCCATGTAAATCTCGTTCTCCTTTGCTGTACCGCCGCCAGGCCCCTATCCCTGAACCAGGACAGACTTCCAACTTGAGTCGCCCGGCCAACTCGGCCGGCTCGGCTGTCGCACGTTTTGAGGTCATAGCTGTGCAAACACTCATTGCATTTTTACACAAGTTGTCAGCAATAAGAAGCATGATTCTTTAAGTGCTGTGATAGACAACCTGTCCAATATTTGCATGTACACTTTTCAAAATGCAAACGTTTCCGACAATATCACCAGGGTTCCACCTTTGCCATTCTATTAGCGTGTATGTAAAAATATTGGCTTAAGAATGAGATCGTTGTCAAAAAACCCCAGAAGAAGACATTCATGGAATAACTAAGTCAGGACCCACCCAAGTCCTGTTTATTATATATATATATATATATATATATATATATATATATATATATATATATATATATATATATATATATATAAACTGGGCTCTGGTCACATAATTTTATCCATTTAAAAGGTTCAGTCCATGTCTTAAAAAACAAAGAAGTAAAGCTGCTGAAGAACGAAGGTCAAAAGCAGGTGCAGATTTCCAGGACCAGGCCTTGTAGCAGCACGAGACTCAACAATACTAAAAGGGCCCAAAGCACACGATCGTACTGGTAAAAGTGTGGGCCGGTGTGTCCTCTCCAGCGCGTATTATTGTGCGCCAACCACACACATGCCCTCTTGGTGCATTTTTGAGGACCGCTGCCAGGTCTTAACATTCAGGGCAGATGAAAGCGCGGAATCAACAACACGTGATCGGCAAATGTGCCGGCTTCATCTCACAGGCACCTGCTTGTTGCGTCCACGGAAAATTGTGCTCTTTTTGTAATATTTTGGTACAGTTTTAATATAGTTGCCAAAGCTTTTATACCGTGACGTATTTTCCTGGGACATTGACCGACCCACTGGAATCGTTCGTAAAATGGTTCCGGCTTTAATGGCTTAGTCTTGGTATGATTATATGATAACAACTGACCTTCCCTACATAAGTTATAACACGGGCCATTTTGTGCCGCTCGCTCAACCACGCCAGACATACTCACAACAAAGCATGTGGATTTGAGTCATTGTAACACGGAGTTCGAATGTAACTGGTTATGGAAATGTTGCTGATTATATACATATATGTGGCTGATAGATTGTCATCACAGCATTACATTATCGGAGGAGCATTTGACAAGTATGCTGGGAATGAAAACCAAATCACGTATTTTGCAAGGGTGTAAATGCTCACATACATACTGTGAGGGTCATACCCCCTTCCCCCACTGCTCCTCGGCTTCAACATGGGCATGTTTGTGTGGGATGGAAATAAGTTATTTCAAACGCCAATGTCCGCATCAAAATGGCCATCTGCCTACCAAGGCGTTGTGAAAGGTTTTCATATCCGTTGTTTTCCAATGCGTATGTGGGAAAATTATCAAAAAGTTATGAGTTAAAAGCAAAATACTATAAAAGTTATATAAGTTGTAAGTTCATAAAGCAATGACACAACTCTGAAGTACAATCCGCAGATTTGACTTGAAAAAGCCCGGTTGGTGTCGAAGTTGTCTCACCTCCTTCTCGTCTTCCTTGAGCTGGGCGTTGATGAGGTCCAGAGGTATCTCCGGGAAACTGCATAGCGTGGTCATCAGACAGGCGATGTAGATGAAGAGCACCAACGTGAACACGGCTCGCACGTGACCTCCGAACACCTCTCCTGCCGGCATCGGTCACGTGTCGGACCGACACGGCACCCGAGGGCACAGAGCTGTGGTACTAGTTCAGGAGCCTCCAACATGAAATAGGATTCAGCTGGCGTAATGTCTGGAGATGATGTCATGAAGGCACCTGGTACTGTCAGTAGCGTTCCAATCTCACGAGGCGCTAGTTCCAGCAGGGTAGAACGAACGTCATGTCTGGAACATTGGCCCCGCTTCGTATCTGCCGTGATGAAGAGCACATTGTATTGCACCTAGGTAATTATAGATGCATTAAACACACTTTCGAGGTACAAATGTTTGTTATTTTTAGTAGGTAAATTTTATAAAACAATCTAACGACCTAACCAGTGCTCTAATGGTGACGCCAGCGTCAAAAAGGTCACTCACTGTGTCAATATTCTATTTTGTTCCATTAAGTATTCATCTGATTTAACAAGAACGCTCTGGCATTCCAGAGGGTAATCATAAAACGCACCGATTCACTTAAAAAGAACAGCATCCACGTTCACGCCCATGCGTTGGCTCCTGCGTGTCCTTGACGCATACGTGATAACGCCTTGATGAACGCTTATGTATTTGCACACACTTCACCTGATCGCTCGCGCTTTTCATAGGCGGATCCTAGGGGGGGAGGGGGGCACGGGGCGTGGCCCCCAAAAGCTCTGAGAGTATGATTTGGCCCCCAAAACATTCCCAGAACTTCATAAAAGTTTCGCCTGCTTACCGTCTGTTCAAGCATTTCTTTCCGTTTCGGAAATAAACTTCATGAAGAAAAGTTGGCAGCGATTCGAATATCAAAACAACACGCATGTTGACTGGGTTCAGTCATACTCGACGCAAACATCGTGTTTGATAAGTGCACTGAGCCTCGGATCCCACACCAGCCAACTGACGACGAACGGTTGACTCCCACCCCCCACCCCCCCTCCCTCCCCCAAACTCCAGGCTAGATCCGCCCCTGGCGTTTTTTCTTTCTTCATGTGTGCCCAACAAAGTCGCAAAGCATCCGTCATTTGCTTTTGATACATCTTCTGTAATTTTACTGTTATCGCATTTTGAGCGACCAGCGAGGTAGCGGTGCGGCTGAATCGCTCTCAGATGAGAACCGGTGCGCTCATCACGAGGCGGAAACCACATCCGAAATGAACTCGTAAGAATGCAAGCATCTAAGGCCTCTGTTGACTGTTGACGAGGCCTGAAACAACAGCCAACAAGGAATCCCCGGGAAACACTGATGATGGAGTTGCCAAGCCCACAAGTGAGTCCGGATCAACTTCATGTCGGACACGATGAGGATTCCAGGCTGCGTCTGACCGCGGGGAAACGTGTTCAACGTGCCTATACAACACTTCATAGTATCAAATAGACATCAGGGCGCACCACAAACAACCAAGAGAGGTGGCAAACAAACGCCAACGTAAAACGCAGGCAGGTAGGAGGTAACGCTCTCTACCGAGTGAACGGTATGGTGACGTCGTGAACGTGAATACCAATGTGCAACTGCAAAATCCTCCTGCCAGAGCTTTTGCACAGGTGAATGAGTCCGAGTTCGACCAGACTCGAGCCCCGACTCGCAGCCTGTTGTGACTCACACGCGAGTCCGAACCCGTGACGTTTTGGGAATCCAGCTGCAGTAAAGCTGCTTTTCACTGGCGCATTGCATTCAGACTGAGACTACAATACGTTGACTCCGTCTCGGAAGGTCTCAATCCTAAAGGAATGCACGCTGGCCGAGGGCCAAAGGATTTGTAAAAAAAAACGTTGGAAACGAAATCGGCTTCAAGCTGAAGCCAAAAGGAATCATCTTTGGGTAAAAATAACTTTGATGGAGCCCAGGCGCTTTTGGGATATTACCTAAGGGTTGCATTCTCGCACAGTCATCAGATACACTTTGGTGGCAAAGTACATGTTCGATACGATTCACGCTAGGTGTGGGGACCATACGCCGGCATGGACCTGCCTTGTGTTGGGCGTGGCAGCTCAGGCTGACTCGGCTACGCTCCGCTGGTTTTGGTTAGGTCGAACTTATTCCGGTGTGGCCACTTAGAAGCAAGTGCATTATTGAAATCCCGACCCGGAAAGATATCGAAATGTGATATTAGGCTAGATAGGGTCCAGTTTATAGGTCAAGTAAGGCTTACAATCCACATACATTTTTATCCCTGACGAGTTCTTATCACTGACAGTCCTCTTATTCTAGACCTTTGGCATTCCACATGATATCGCAAGAAACTGTTGGACTCTCACTCCAGGCTTCACGATACGGACTCGGATCAAGATAGCCTCCTGGGCCTGGCTTTCATGCCGTGGCTCATGGGCTCCAAAGACGAATAAACTCGGACTAGGACTTAGCGGGGACACGGGGCCATGCCCATGCAGTGTGCTGGGCGGACTCGAGGCACTCGGACTCAGCCTCAGGGTGGACTCGGACCCAAACGCCGGGACTCAGGCTCCGACTCAGATTATTGAACTGAGACGCATGCCTGCCTCCAAGCTCTTCTACATACATCATCACGTCTGTTGCACTTCTCAAAATACTCACGTTGCTACTATTGCACTAGAAAATACTGGGAGTAACCGCCAAGGGAAACGATGAGCGATGAACGATCGGAAAAGGCCATCCAGTGCAGGCCAGTTTCCCCATTTACGTGGAGATGAGAGCTGATATACTCGTGTCCGTATAGCCTAGTAAGATGCTAAACGCGTTAACGGCTGGGCTCCTTATATTTACATCCTTTGACGCAAGGACGGAGCTACCAGGGGGAAGGGGAAGGGAGGCAGGTGGGTGCCAGTCTCTTTGTCCTAACAATCTTCTTGCAGCGGAAAATGCTTTCTTTGCACATATTTTTACTCAGGGGCCCCTATTCTCACTTCTTACCCCAATGAAGTTCCCTCATATCGCTAGGATTGCATTGGTAAAAATATTAGTACGATCCTGCTGGGGCTCCATTGTGTGTCTCTTTGACTCCACAAAGCTTTGAAACTTTAAAAGTTGGTGATACGCTGACGAAAAACCAACTTAAGTTACCCCAAAATAGTGCGTGCCAAACCATGAGCTCACTTCCGAGTCAGTTTGCGTTGTCGATTCCTTTCCTTACGCAGCGGACAATGATTTTGCAATAGGATTCAGTATTGCACTCCCGAATATTGGCGCTGTACGGGCTGCTCGTGACACCTATAAGATCCGTCAGTAATACCATCAGCAGCGTCGGGGCTGGGAATTAGCCGCCGTCGGAGCTGGCGGTGGGCAGTTTCTGAAGCTGGGAGCTGGTAGCTATCGGGGCTGCATGCTGTTAGCTGTCGGAGTGTGCGTGTGTAGGGGGGTGGGGTGGCAGCAGCTGTCGGAGCTGGGAGCGGGCAGCTGTCAGAGATGACCGACACGGACTTGTGCAGTTCCCAGGAGCTGCGTCCTTCCGAATTATCCCGCGCGTCCAGCCATCGAAGCCGGAGCCCAGAGCTGGCCCGGCCCGTGGCTGGCCCACCCGACGGCCCCTGGGCGGCCGCCGCCTCCCCGAGCTGGGGTGATGGACACAGCAATCGGCCCGGCCGGCCTCCTGGGAGCCCGGCGCCGACACAACAGCGGCCGCCCTCCTGCTCTGGGCGGCCGGCCGGTGTGCTGTTTACGGCGCCGGCCGCCCTCCGGCCAGAGCGCGTGACCTCATGAAGCGAGCGGCCTCGGCGATACCGTGTCAACAGGGCCCGGCCGACAACAGACCCACTGGCGTCGCGAAGAAGGGTCAGATGTGGTGGGGGCTTGTGGTTAATGGTTGCAGCGAGTGCAGTCTCCAAGTGTTTCATCAGGGTATGACGCATTCATCCGTGCTGTAAGTTCAATCAGGTCACTTGACGGATTTCGTAAACCTGCTCCCGTATAGACTGCGAACACATTCGGAGAAATGCCTGTCAGCGGTGTGCCATATCAGCACAGTGCAAGGCTTTCCCACGGGATTTTGAGAGCAGCTTGTCTGCTGTGGGGACGGCATGCTCGGTGTGCCCCCGTACCACCCACGTCGGGCGTTTGTGTGTGTTCTGTAGAAGCGGTGTGTCAAGGCTAGCGACAGGTCGGACCGGCCTGGCGCAGGCGCACACAAGTAGGCCAGGGGACGCAGAGCAGCCGCGGCCGGGGCTCACAGCACACAACAGACAGAAGCACGCGACGACAGAGCACGAGACAGACTGGCTTTCGCCTCGTTAATCGCGAGCTCGTGCTGTAAGCCTCATGGTGAAAATGCGGCTGGCTCGAAGGCGGGTGAAAACAAGAAAAATCATGATCCAGTGTGCTCGTGCAAAAGACATCCCGTCAATGACAACCTACATGACGGGAGAATAATGACCCAAACTTACCACTTACATTAATTGCTCATCTCCAGCATTAATCGCCCTGCGGACACCATGCCTGATACGAAGTCTGCCAGAACCGAGCGGCAGGCCACCACGCGACGCTCCATGTGCGTACCTATGACCGTCGCGTCCCAGTTGATGCCCCCCATGGCGTATCCGAGAGCTCCGCCCAGGCCGGCCATGATGGTGAACGTGCTCAGGCCCCTGGCGTGGTCCTCTGAGGAAGGAGTGTGGACATCAGCTGTGTTGTTCAGATACATTCAGGACTCCGTCGTGCATGCTAAAGGAAGCAGCTTGAGTAAGGGGCCATCTTGTGGTTTCCTTGAATGAACATCCGATACCACAAGCACTCCTGCCTCAATTATCATCTTCCGAGTGGACAGTCTGGTGTCAGGAGCCCTCAGGTCTTGGCAAGAACCAGGTGTGCTCCCCTGATTAGCGTGGCAGAGGAACTCAGCGACCTGGTCAGCTCACTGCCAAGAACAAGTCGGTGGCATACACACATGCCACGCCTCCAATATACCACACCACGAAAGCAAAATGACACTAATTCGCACACTGCGAAAGCAAAATGACACCCTGATACACACTGCGAAAACAATGACACAATGACACACACGCTGCGAAAGCAAAATGACACACTGAGACACACTGCAAAAGCAAAATGACGCACTGACACACACGCTGCGAAAGCAAAATGACACATTAAAACACACGCTGCGAAAGAAAAGGGACACACTGACACACACGCTGCGGAAAAATGACACTAAAATCACTCATGCCCGTAGTGCATGGTCCTCCGCCGGAAAAAGCTCCAGTGGAAACATTTCACCTGCTGTTCACGTTTGGTCTAGTGCGAGAGTCAAACCCCAAATGATCAGGCTGGGCTGGGTAACTGGGGCTGAGCCCCGCGCCGCCAGGCTGGGCTGGGTCACTGAGGCTGAGCCCCGAGCCGCCAGGCTGGGCGGGGTCACTGAGGCTGAGCCCGAGCCGCCAGGCTGGGCGGGGTCACTGAGGCTGAGCCCCGAGCCGCCAGGCTGGGCGGGGTCACTGAGGCTGAGCCCGAGCCGCCAGGCTGGGCGGGGTCACTGGGGCTGAGCCCCGAGCGACCAGGCTCGGCTGGGTCACTGAAGCCGAGCTGTGAGTGGCTTAGGATTTTAGAATCACTGCAGATTCACAAAAGAGCAAGCTGCCACTAAATATCATGGGGCCTGCATATCTTTTGCAACTTGAAAGGTAGTCCTTTTCATACCGATTCAAAACGATGCTCCCCCGCGTGGTTCCTGCATTTTTCAAACTATCCTGTTTATGTGTAGAGGGGCCGTGTTGAATTGCGTCAATTGGGATCATTGTCATGTCTAGCGATGTTGGTTCAATGCTATCCTATTTCATTGTAACTTGACTGAACTTTACCATTATACTCGTCCTGATGACGATACGCAACGTATCGAAACGCTGACAACCGCGTAGATGATAATCACTGCTGCCCATGCCATAATCACTGCTGCCCATGCCAGCAAAAATATATTACTTTTTATAATAATTTATTAAATATTTACTTCTTATTACCAAATATATTACTTCTTACTATCAGAGGATGCTATTTATGTTAGATTGTATATATATATGTATATATATATATATATATATTATATATATATATATATATATATATATATACATATATACATTATTTCCCTATGTGTTCATTCCAGCGACAAAATATTGCAGAATTATTGTAAAGACAAAGCCCCTGACGTGAACAAATATATCCAATACCTCAGGAGAATACGGCAGCTTCCACGACTCGAAAAAATGGCCGGCTCAATCCCTTTACGACGTGTTGTTCTCGGGCTTCGGGAATAGCCGACTGCGGAAGACCGTCGAGACGCCGGCGGAGCCTCGGACGATTTGTAGCAGTCCGCTCCATTGTAAATATGACACGGGGCGGGCGGCTGCAGCCTTCCAAGCCCATTCAGGTCAATGCAGAGTAAACCATAACCATAGGGACTGGACACAGATTCCTTGGACGTCTCGGGTCGACCTATTTAGATTATCAGTACATTTCACCTATAAGAGTTGTGTTGACCGTTATATATATATATATATATATATATATATATATATATATATATATATATATATATATATATATATATGCTGTGCAAGGACGGATGAACGGTGGACACAGGATTACGCGTGTCGTGGTGTTACTGTTGCGAGCTCTCAACCTTTGTCCTTATTCAAAAAGATTGAATGGAGTGCTCGCGCTTCAGGACGGCTTCATCAGCACCTGTTTCAGGAGAGTTCGCAAGCTCTGGATCACCGCAATCGTCGGGATGGTGACTTTAATGTCGCAGGAGTCTTGCCAAATGCCACGGCAACACACAATACAGAGCGTGGAACTTAAACACCGATGCTAATATCAACTCAGGCGCGGGCCCAATGCGCATGGCTGTTCGGCAGGGCATGGCACAGCCAACGTACATGTGGATGAATGCGCCCAGGGAGAGGGGAGGGAGAGGGAGGGCAATGCCTGCCGGCTCGTTCATCTCAGCGCCCGTCAAACGCACCTGTCAGATCCATCACTGCGTGCGAACCGGACGGAGGCGGGCCGATCACGGCGATCGGGGTTAACAGCACGATCAGAATTAACATCGCGATCAGGGTGAACAGCGCAATCAGAGTGAACAGCGCGGGCAGGGTGAACAGCGCAATCAGAGTGAACAGCGCGGTCGGGGTGAACAGCACGATCAGAGTTAACATCGCGATCAGGGTGAACGGCACGATCAGAGTTAACATTGCGATCAGGGTGAACGGCACGATCAGAGTTAACATCGCGATGAGGGTAAACGGCACGATCAGAGTTTAAATCGCGATCAGAGTGAACAGCGCGGCCAGGGTGAACGGCACGAGCAGGGTGAACAGCACGATCAGAGTTAACATCCCGATCAGGGTGAACAGCGAAATCAGAGTGGACAGCGCGATCGGGGTAAACAGCAAGATCAGAGTTAACCTTGCGATCAGGATGAACGGCGCGATCAGAGTTAACATCGCGATCAGAGTGAACAGCGCGTTCAGGGTAAACGGCACGATCAGGGTGAGCAGCACGATCAGAGTTAACATCGCGATCAGGGTGAACAGCGCAATCAGAGTGAACAGCGCGGTCAGGGTGGTCAGCGCGATCAGGGTGAACAGCACCATCAGAGTTAACATCGCGATTAGGGTGAACAGCACGATCAGAGTTAACTTCGCGATCAGGTTGAACAGGACGATCAGAGTGAACAGCGTGGTCAGGGTGAAAGGCACGATCAGGGTGAACAACACGATCAGGATAAGCAGCGCGGTCAAAGTGAACAGCGCGATCAGGGTGCGGGCAATGCATCTCCCCAGGTGGGAGGTGTCACACAAAGCAACGTCCTAATTTGGAGCTCGATTCACCTGATGGGTTCCACAATGAGATCCGCAAGTGACCTAACTCAGCCGAATGTTTTTGGCAACGGAAAGCAAATGCACGCCTGCAAACGCAATGCGCGCGCTCATGCAAGAAGACTGAAAGTTTGGTCTTGCTGGGACAACTCGTTTGTCGCCGGCTGAGACGGGCGAAACCGTTTCCAGTGTAGCAAATGATACTCAAGGAGATGAGCGCTTCTCACGTGGAATGGATACTGCCACATCATCTCCCAGCGAGGAGGTACCCAATGCGAAAACAAGTCGCCACATTTGTTTTCCTTTATTTTGGTTTTGCAGCCAGTGCCAAAAGGCCATACAGCAGAAATTTGGCCATGTGAATGGCACGGAATTTTGTTTGCAACAGCAGGAAGTGTCAGATTTGGCTTTTTTGGTGGTTTTATTAGGCGTACATTGTTTGTTTCCAGTGCTCTACACAAGTCGTAACGCTGTGGTTCCTGTTACCCTGCCCATAAGCTTTAGCGGTGGGAGCTGTCGTTGCTGTCAACAGCAACGTTTGGAAGGTTCGAAGAGTCACTTTTCCATTACAAGCGAGTGAGGAAGGTTTTACCCGGCACATAAACTTGATCAAGTGTCAAAAGGCTCCGATAATGAATACTGAAAATCTGATTGCAGCATGATGAAAGCTTTTTTGTTTCGTTTACCTGTCTTTGAAGCGATGCCCTGCAGCGTATCACGCGGACCACTATTGACAATGTTAACTTACACTGCAGACTAAGTGTGTTTCCGGCCTTTCCGCTCAGGGTGTGAGCTTCGGTGCAGCTGAACGCAGTCGGTGTAACAGACCAGCGATGATGCACTCCAAAAGCGGGATAAAGAGACGAAGACACCTAAAATCCATCAAGAGGAGCCCTTATGCGCCGTGAGATGTGCGAGGGAACGTTACATGTGAGAGCCGTCCGTTGTTATCACGTGGACGATGTCAATAGCTCTGCTATCTTGAGGTCAGACACCTTCGGCAGTCGGCTTGTTGGTGCGCTTGTTCACAAAAACAGGGCGACAGCAAACCAACAAGCGTGGCGAGCGACCGGCACAGGGTCTGGCTAATGTTGCAAGCTTAAGTTAACCAGATCAGCGGCTTTGTCACGATTTGTGGTTTTGACAATGACGAACATATTTGTGAAAAACGGAGCTATTTTGGTGGATATTGGTCACGATAAGTGGGGCCGTCAGCCAAGATTTGAAAGCAAAGCCCAAGTCAGATAATTTGACGCCAATCTTACTCAGGGGCCCCGCGCTGAGACCGAGATAAAGGCTGTTAGGCCCAACTGCACGCTTATCGTGAGTTATGAGCATGGAAAGTGGATGATGGCTTCAATCTGAACATATCACACTGGTTGGTGATGTTTGTCATATCTCGAATGGTTTTCAAGACTTGGTGTGATAATTTGCCTTGCATCTGTGCGCATTTCATTAATGCCTTGCTATGGTCGCTTTTCAACCGTTCGAGTATTACGGATAGTTAAAAAAATACCTGGGGTCAATCTCAATGAGACAAGGGTCCCGATAGGTAGGAAGTTTGGGCCGAGAGCCACGGAATTTATGAATTTAACCAGCATTAGCTGAGCAGTGAAAAACTCCAGAAATTCACGACAGACTGGATTGTTGCACAGTGCTGGCAGATGTTGTCAAAATCAATTACAAACATGAAATTTTAAAATGTCTTATGGGTTAATATTCAAAAGTAATCTGTCGTCGGACCACCGTTAACAAACCACTTGTTAAAACATTAGAGCTTGCATTCAGTTCGTTAGTTCTGTATGAAGACAATGATTCATGTCGTCGGTGCCTTTATTGTACTTTAAGCATTATAAGTATGTGAACCCCATCGCACAGGTCCCGAAATTATGTAAAGCGCACCGCATGTAAAACAAAGGGAAGAGATGACGTGGTGAAGAGGACCGAACTGATAGATGATACGGGTCCCGGCCGGCCTGCCCAAAGCCATGTCCAGCCGGCTTATCCCTGGATGACCACATACATATTCATAATATATATATATATATATATATATATATATATATATACGCACACGCGCACAATGTGTTGCATTCGCACGGGCTGCTTCCCGAGCAGGGAAATCCAGAAGCGCACATTTTAGCTGGATTGTTTTCGACAGGACGCATATAAAGGGCCGTACAAACTCCGGAGGACTTATTAGCACAGAACAACTACGATGAAATCCAAGCCATTAATTTGCTTGGGGAAAAGTCAGGGTACGTTGGGCAAAGCTTGCAAAATCCCAAGTTTCCACAACCAACTTGGGCACCGATTGATCACCTGGTATTGGCCACTGCTTGTTTTGCCTCCAAAAAATGTTGTGATAAGAAAAATTGAAATTACTTCATATATAAGGAATCTAGGCTGGTGACTCATTGTACGTGATGACTTGCCCTTAATACCGGTCCTCCTCGTGCATCTCGAATTTGAGAAAGAGCAGCATACGACGTCATTGTAATAACAAAGTAGTCAACCATGCTGTTTTGGTAGGCTTGGAAAAACGTTTCAGGATTTATGACGCATGAAACGGTGATATTGTTGACTTCACTCGACGCCCAAGCATTTCAGCGCCAGGACATGGGCTGAACAGTTTCGAGATCCTCTCGTCAATTGCAGCCGGTGCCCTCGCCTACACCGTGCAGCCAGCTTCACGTTTCGATCAGCTCCAGTCGTTGAGATCTGGCACCAATCCTTAAAAGTCGCAAATCGAGCCGGCCCATGGTTTGAGCGCGAGGGCGCGTGAGCGCCCCAGACACATTTGGGCCTCACTGTTACCAACAGCAGTCCTTCTGTTCGGTCAGAATGTCTCAGTCTCGGGTCGCCGAGACGCCCGGTCGGCGATGTCTGTACCCAGTCTACACGTGTTCTTTAGCCCTTTCGTATGTGGAGAATTTCAGCCTTGCCGCATTATCGAACGGAGAATGCCATCGTGGTGATATCGCAATAGTGCAAATCAAATCCTGGTCAACAGCTTGCATGCAAATAGCACAAATAGCACGTATAGCACAAATTCCTATAACTGCCCACTGTGTTGCGGAAAGCTGAATGAGCCTGCAACCGTGGTTATAAACAAATAAGCCTCCATAAGGTGTGGCGATCAGAGTCGGGCTGGGCTGTTCATGTGTCGAACAGGTCGGGCTGTGCCGATCAGGGTCGGGCTAGGCTGCTCATGTGGCGATCAAGGTCGGTCTGGGCCGCCCATGTGCCGATCAGGGTTGGGTTGGGCTGCTCTTGTGTCGATCAGGCCAAAGACAAGTTTTAAAATCGTGAATGGCGTGATCATAAAGAATAAATTACCATAAAACAGAAATGTTGAGCAAACACGTCAACGCGTGGCGGATGCCAGCGACACGCTTCATAAACATGCATTCAGACACCATATAAACCAATATACGGTGCTTAAAAGCGCTTTTGGTGTCAATGGTGCCTGCAGGAACATGACGTTGGTATATAAACTTCACTCTCGACTGCAGCCTCATCTTACTGGGTATGTGCTGTCTACAGGTGGCTAAATATGCCAAAAGCTTGGGAAATGAAAATTGCGTAAAATGCGTTTTTGAACGGTAAAATATCTTCCAAACCTGATCTGCTGGCAATATTTAGAGGCATTATAAAGCTGTTCCCTGTAGTATAAGCGTAACAGTTGAAATTGTGGCGAAACACTTGGATTTCAGCGGCTACTCCAGCTCTGCTACTAATCACACCTATGTACTTATGTATTAATATTGATAAATACTAATTATGATAATGTTCGTACTAATTCACAACAAATTTGTGTACCAGTTCTTTCATTATCGTGTTCAAATCGTGAGACGTTCTGTCAACTCGATTCTAAGTAAAATACAATACGCTTCCTTCAAAGCTTCGACGGTTTAGAAAGCACCGACATAAAAAAGTTCGGGCAGTAATGGCCCCTTCAATTGAAGATATCGTTCGAGCAAAGCTGCACAATGCAAAACACGCAACATTAACCGACAAGAAAGAGCAGAAGCCATTCGTTAGCGTCATCATCATGCCTGGTGAGTGGTGTCGGTCACAAACTAACAAATCCATTTGCTGGACATCCTCTCAGCTAGAATATCTATATTGTAAAGGGAATCGGTGTTTTCCGGGTGGCTAATTCAGAAAAGAACCACATTGTTTATTGGGTTTCTGCAACGTGTAATAACAGCCGTCTGCTTCATTCGCGGCCATATCGATGCCGCTGTTGTTAGAACAAGGCTGTGCTGCGGGGTCATTTTCGCGGATAATGGAACAGTCGTGTTTTATCTTTCGCGAGGAGGCGGAATTCAGCTCTCGTGACGTCTTAGTTTACCGCTCGCGCCGCATGACGGAAAACAAATGCGCACCAGATGACAAACAGGCACGCTCACCACACGCACGCACGCATCCGGACGGACACGCATGCACGCATGCAGACAGGCTTACAGGCGCGTACGCTACCACTATCGTGCACAAATGGGACGCACGTCAGCTTGCCGTATATTGCTGAGGGTTATCACCATAAATAAATCAATGGAATGCACAACCTTTATCGAGATCGGCCGACCGAAGAAGTCAACGCACTTGCGAGGCAAGTCACGTCTTAAACCGGCTAGAGCGGTGGCGCCCAGACCGGTGACGGATCGTGCGAGCGAGGGTGGACGGTCACCAGAGCGACCCAGGCTGGCAGGCCGCACAGATGACCAGGTACCCAGACCAAGCCAGCAGGCCAGGACACTGACCGGGAGCTGTGACGGCACCAGCCCACACCAGCAGGCCAGGACACTGACCGGAAGCTGTGACGGCACCAGCCCACACCAGCAGGCCAGGACACTGACCGAGCGCTGTGACAGCACCAGCCCACACCAGCAGGACAGACAACTGACCGGGCACTGTGATGTCGAGCAGGAAGGCCCTGGCCGGGCTCTGGCACGCATCCGAGTCGAAGTCCAGCAGCACCGTGCCGACGATGGTGAAGAAGATGCCCCAGGGGTGGGTGTGGTACTGGCGGCCGGCGGTCGGCGCCCTCCAGCGCCGGCAGCGGGTACGTCAGGTTGGTCGGCGCCGCCAGTGAAGACGCGCGGCTCGGCCGGCGCGTCGTACTGGTCGCCCAGCGCCTGACCGATCAGGGCGCCGTTCGGCACCAGGATCAGACCTGCGGCGGCAGCAGACGGTCAAGCCACGGATGGCGAGGATTCACTGCACCGCGCCACTAGACGATGACCCGGATGGTGAGGATTCAACTGCACCCGCGGCCACTAGACGGATGGCCCGGGATGGCGAGGATTCACTGCACCGCGGCCACTAGACGGATGGCCCGGATGGTGAGGATTCACTGCACCGCGGCCACTAGACGGATGGCCGATGGCGAGATTCACTGCACCGCGGCCACTAGACGGATGACCCCGGATGGTGAGGATTCACTGCACCGCGGCCACTAACGGATGGCCCCGGATGGCGAGGATTCACTGCACCGCGGCCACTAGACGGATGGCCCGGATGGCGAGGATTCACTGCACCGCGGCCACTAGACGGATGGTCCGGATGACGAGGATTCACTGCACCGCGGCCACTAGACGGATGGCCCGGACGGCGAAGATTCACTGCATCGCGGCCACTAGACGGATGGCCCGGATGGCGAAGATTCACTGCATCGCGGCCACTAGACGGATGACCCGGATGGCGAGCGAAAACTACCCTGCGATGCGGCCATGAAATGACGATTACAGTTATAACACTGGTATTTTAATATCACAAGAAAAAAGGCTGTGGGTAAGAAACAAAGTACCTCATGACTTGGCACTTAAAAAACGCATCTGACATTGGGGAACAGCATGGTAATGCTGTTCATCGGCTTAGAAATCGTGTCGTGAAGCTAATCAATTTCTTACACTTTTGAAACTTTTGACACTTTTGAAAGTTTGGAGGAAGAGACGGTCGTGAGGATCGTATCTCATTCCATAGCTACAGATAAATAAGCAGTAGCATGAAGTATGTGTAGCTACTTAGCAGACTTAGAGGGAGTGTACCACCTTTATGGCGTACTTCAAAAACATACTCTAGTGAAACCTCAGGACCAGTTACGTCTGATAAAAGCACTGGGCAGCGCCGCTGCAGCACCGTCAAGACATTATCAGGATATCAGTTTTAACCATTCCCGGGTCCAAATTGCGCTATAGACGCTTTGTACCAGCACTACGCTTTTTCCCTGCAGTTGTCAAGATGGACGTCGCAATGAGAACCGACGTGGCACCTCTGATGGCGCGAATAAAAGTGACTGGCCAATCGAGCCGCGGGTGCATGTTACAGAGGAGCACATTGGTTGAGGTTTGAGCCAGTGCGTCACTACCTTATTATGGTCGATGTGATGCTCCCATTGCGAGAGCCAAAGAGCGTCTAAAAAGGTCACTGGTAAACGTCATAGGGGAGAAATCAAAGCCATAGGATAGCGTTTCGCTGAATTTACAGGATACTAGCTTCGTGTTCGCATATCTTTTTGTCTTAACAGGGTGTTTCAAGCTTTTGTGGCATCAATTGCAAACATTTTGACAAATAAGTGTAACAAACCTTACAAAACGCACACATTGGATAAGCAAGGGAACTTAAATGCATAAGTTGTTAAGTGCCTTTGCGAGGAACATCACTCACATAGCTTCGACAAAAGAAAACGCCTTATGCCTCGGAGGGAAAAAAAGAGAATGGAGTCATAGATGCGTTGATATTTTGGCAGCATGCATTTATCGAAGCAGTAGCAAAGGCATGTTACCGAAATGTAACGCATCTATATCTCCTTTCTCCTGATTTTTCTAGGAGGGATGAGGCCATTTCTTCTGTTCTTTCTATGAGAAGTTCAATGCATTGCTTTCATAGTGGTGAGCAGAGAGTCCGATGAGACTTCACCCGCAGGAGCGGCTACTTCAAATAGTGGTGAGCAGAGAGTTCAATGAGACTTCACCCGCAAGAGCGGCTACTTCAATAGTGGTGGGCAGAGAGTCCGATGAGACTTCACCCGCAGGAGCGGCTACTTCGAATAGAAATCTGAGCTATGCAAAAGTACTTCGAGAAAACCGGTAGAATTGAGAAAACTATGCGCGTCTGATCTAACAATAAGTGAAAACGACAAAAAAGTTTGGCATGGTCTCTTTAAATACGTGCATGGCATTACACCGATGCAGTCATGTTGACGAATTTTTATACACGGCGACAGACTTGTGCTTGATTCGCCTTCGCCTGATTTGATTCGATTCTGATTCATACAAACACATTGGGACGCGAATCATCATTCGGATCAAGGCCATTGCCTACGAAGCGAGTCAAATCACCCCTCTGTAACAATGCAGCTCTAGAGTAGCAATGACATCATTGTGGTTATAAGATGCAGACTGAAGTTAATTCTAAAGAGCTTTGTTTGTCATGATTGCATATTCCTATCATGCCTGCTCTGTGTCATGTCTGTATAGAAAACTTGACTATCGTGCATGTAACAATGCAGTTCTGACAGCAACAGGATCAGGGTGACTACAAATCGATTTAAAGAGCCCGTCTTTTGTCATGATGTTCTCGCTATCACAACCAACACTTTCATATCCGTGCAGAAAACATAACCCTGCCTCCTATCAATGTTACACATGATCTTTATGAAGCATTAAAAGAATCAAATGCTCAGTTAGTGAATGCCCAACAGCGTCATTTGAATAGGTATAAAAGTGTCACATGAATAATTAGTGGTTCGTTAAGAATATCTGGCGTATGCGTAGTGAGGCAGGGAGCCTGACTTTAACTGAGATTCCTTCATTATGTGTTTATAATGTGTTACAGAATGGAACCAAAATATTTTACTTCATGGCATAGAACGGTTCACTTCGTTTTGAACAGTTCACGTGTACATTGCTTCGAATCAAGTTTGTTTCAAGAACAATTTACGTTATTCCTGAGTCGATTCACACTTCGAATCGAATCGAGCACACCTGCACAACACAATACATTTCACGTCGTGGCAAACGCAAACACAGCCCCGTTCGTCCTCCCACGCTTTCAAAAACCCACGTGCAGTTTTGCCCAGAATCCAACGATCAGTCTGTTCAGCCGTCCCAGATCGCAGGCCACCTCGTCCGGTGGTGGGTTCAAAGGCCCACGCGTTCAGCATACTGTCAAGGAGCTCTCAGAGCATACTTATCGCGGGCTCTCAAATCTTTCCGTCACGGGTCTGCACGGCACGGGCCTTAACAATCCGTCTCGCTGTGCGGTTCTCACACATTCACCGGTCCTGCTGGCAGATTCACAAACCCAGCACGGTGCCGGCGGAGAGAGGTTCACAAACCTTGCACGATGCCGATGGAGGGGAGGGGGATTCAAAGCCAAAACGATCCCAACGGAGAGGGGTTCACAAACCTAGCATGACGCCGACGGGGAGGGTCCACAAACCTAGCACGACGGCGATGGGGAGGGTCCACAAACCTACCACGACGCCGACGGGAAGGGTTCACAAACCTAGCACGACGTCGACGGGAAGGGTCCACAAACCTAGCACGATGCCGACGGGGAGGGTCCACAAACCTCGCACCACGCCAACGGGGAGGGTCCACAAACCTAGCACGATGCCGACGGAGAGCAGCAGCACGAAGGGCCGCCGACGGCCGAGCGGGCTGCGGCATCGGTCGCTCATCGAGCCGAGCACCGGCGTCAGGAAGAAGCCGACCAGCGGCGACAGGCACCAGATCAGCGTCATGTGGCTGTGCAGCACGCCTGCGGTGTGAGGCTGCAGTTACGGCACTGGCTCGAGCCCGCTCCAGCTCAGCTGACACGGTAGTGATCCGGCTGGCAGTGCTTGTGACACGTGACTGAGAATGCTGGGGTGAAGTATTACTTAGCGTTGAGTCAAGTGGCTAATGATGAATGAATGATCATGATGATGAATCAAAAGGGCCACAGACTGAACCCCTCTCACGCACACTGGACGGAAGGCCACACAGCCACCCACCGATTGAGAGCAGCGTGGGTGAGACGAAGGCCGTCTCGGCGGCGTAGCAGAACTCAATGCCCATCACGGCCGCCGAGATCCGCAGCAGCTCGGCACGCGTCTTGGTTCTGAAACGCCAGACCGGCTCCGTTAGACCCAAATCAAGCTCAAATCCCGAACAGAGAATCACGTCAAAATAGTCCTTTAAAGGAGAAAGAAATACAACCAGAGGCATGGCAGTGCAGATTTCTGAGGGGTCGGTGGCAGCTTTCGAACGCCCATTTCCCAATAGGCACAGCACAAAGGGGGAAAATAATGGAAAAGTCGGGATGAACTATGCAAGTATTTGGGGGGAATAAATGGGTCCCCAATGGCAGGGAAGCCTGAATGAGCAGCCCCTTGGCCCGACACGGGTCCGATCTACGAGGAGCCCCTAAGACAATGCCCAAAAGGGCCATCTCAAAGTGGATCATCCAGCGGAGCTGGGGTTCATCTAAGCCCCCCCCCCCCCTGCCCATTGCAAAGAGAACTGAATACAAAACAAACGGTAAGGTAATCACCCCGTTGATGCCAGAGAGAAAGAGAGCAACGAAAATCTCCTGCCAGGTCTCTGAGGGGTCCGCAGGAAAGCACCAGCAGGCTTAAACTGTGCCCAAAATTGACGTCATGCTGTAATCACGCGGTAATATGGCCTGCTATAGACAACGACCCCCCAGAACGACCATCAAACAGGGCCACGCTTAAAAAGGAAAGTACACTGGATTTTTGGGAAGGTGGCTGTCAGGGTTGCCTGTAGTTTTGCAGGGCGGTCACTTTAAAGAGGCTTGTCATGGTTGGACGGTCAGGAGACCTTGAGGGCAAGATCTCATTGGTACAAAAATGGCACAGGCAAAAAAAGGCCCTGAGCCAAAATCCAAAACGTCCCTTCCTGTGCATCCGATAATCCCGGACAGCCATCGCCGCTATAGGCTCCGTTCGGGCCCATGCAGCAGAAGACCATCTGGGACAGAGCTTTGAAATGGCCCAATAAAAAGAGGGCTCATGCTGAGGAGCTGGGGGACCATCGCAGGACCCAGCTGACTGAGGTAGGTATAAGGAGGGGCGATAGGGAGGTTGCCCCCCCCCCAACTTGAGGTTCGGGAGTGACCTCTAGGAGACTCGCGCTGCCCCCTGAGAAGGCCCGCTAATAAGGACCACTTAGCTGAGGCTGCATCCAAAAGGGACCCTTATCCTCCAACCATGCAAAAATGTACCTGCTACACGAAAATGGCCACGAAGCAAAGATCAACCAGGGTCTCTACTTAAAGGGGGAGTGCGCACAGATTTTAGCGGGGCCAACATTCTGACCTCCAATTCTCAAAAGGGCCAATTCAAAGGAACTTCCTGGATGTTGGCAGGTCAGGTTGTTGAGGAGTGACCTTTGGGCACGAAAGAGCCCCTAAGGTCTATGCCCAAAAGGGTGTCTGAGATCTACTCCAAAAGCGGTCCTTCCTGATTACCATGAATCCGGCTCCCTGATCCTGGGATCCGTCGCTGAGCACAGCTTGTTGCCTCGGAACCATAGTCCGCCGCATGGAAATTTCCAATCATGGGGATGTTTCGCCCCAAGCGGTGCAGCAGTTCCTACTGGGAGATGCTTAATGCGTGGCGGCAGTGCCATGACATGGCCACGTTATGGCCGGTTTGATCATTTTGCTTGGATCGGTCGCGTTCGCTTGGTACCGAACCCACAGCGGTGGGTTGACACACACTATCGCACGAATCCACACTGTCTGCTAGACTATGAGGACATTACATCAACCGCCCGAATGCTAACAACGGACCATCATAATACCTTTTGGCACAATAGCTGTTCTACTTCGTGTTGATGATGCTTGGAATTTTACGTCAGGTAAATGACAAATTAATTGAGAAGACGTGAAGATTTATCGAAATTTAGTTTGTGAAAATACTGTAAACCGTATCGACGTACCCATCCACTGAGGTTGCAGATGGCACCAAACCCTCTTGATGGGCACCTCAGGAGTAGATGGCCAGAATACTGATCTCGTGATTACATTACCTTAAACGGGCACCGTGACATGTGAACAATGTAATCAGCATCTCCATTGCTTAATAATTTCCCTTTCTGTTTGAACCTAAGAGCGGATTAAATGCATCGATCGCCAGATTTTGTTCCCAAACACGGGAGGGGCAGGCCAGCATTTCTTTGGGTGAACCGTACAAACTTTTTAGTATTGACACACGCCCATTCTACGCAAATGCATGCCACTAGATCAACGGTTAACTATAGTGCGTTTAGATGCAATACATACATCGTTCCTTTATTAAAATAGTAGATGCTGTCTGATGATACACCAGCTTCCAGCTAAGTGAGAGCAAACGACAGAGATATGGCATTGACTGCATACATGATGCATCGACCAGATATGTCGTAAAACAGACCTAAAGGATCATATTTCCTTGGACTGGACCTTTCAAGTCTTTCAGAACGCTGCCGTTAAGAACCAGCCAACGAGAATTCCATTGCGATTCGGTTTCAGCGTGGGTGTCGATGTCACGCCGTGGTTCTCGGAGAGCCCGCTAGATAATGGTGTATGGCATTCAAGGTCTTCCTGATGGCTGTCGTTATCTATAATATGCTGTTCTGTATACAACTAATATCGCATAAGATGGTGGGTAGCTCTAACAAGACAGGTAGATCAGAAGGTGTTTCGACCGCAAGCCCTCCTCATTGCTGTGAACGTGTACGTCTGCTGTTTCCTTATTCTCATTAGAGCTAACTTCCGCCGTAAACCGCACACAGACCGACAGCCGACAAAAAAGCCGTTTTGTATTGTTGAAAGCCACATCGGGGTCTCTCACAGCACATTTTCATTCAAAGGGATTCGCGGAACCAGAGCTGTTGACGAGACGCGAATAACCAATGCAGCTCATTTGCCATTGAAACCCAATCACTGGCTGACTAAAGCTGTTGACGAGCTTAGCAAGTGACGGCGGGGTCAAAAGTTCAATTTTCCCGTACACGTGAAAATAATCCCAAGACGACGTCGTGCGTTTAGGGACGCCATTTAGAGACGTTGGAGCTGACTCTATAGCATCACTCGCATCGCAGAGGACGTTTTGTCTGATACCAATTGACTATCAGCTGGGTGAAAGGCATTTCCAAGAGAGACGGCCAAGCAAAATAGGTTCGTGGACTGGTTACACTTAGCAGACGTCTAGATAGGTGACCTTTCCCCCATCCACTAAACAACAACAAAAACCAAAAGTACCAGTGACTTCAAAACTTTGATCCACAGGACTGAAAGCAGAGCTTTCGTTGGACATTCACTTCCACACGTTTCGAAACTTCAGAAGCGCAAGCAAGAGTGACATTGCAAGATTCGGAGCCGGCACCGGAATCAGAGTCGACAGGCAGTTTGCCTTGGCCCTGCCTTTTTGTCTGCGCTTGCCGACGCAAAATATCGACAGAGGGCCGCAAAAAGCTGAATTCCTGAAGCAGAGTTTTGGCTTCTGACTACGCCGCGTTCTGTGTCCGATTTCCAGACTTTCGTTTTCGTTTGTCACTGAAGACATTCGAATGCTGCGATCCGACGCAATGCTCCGTAATCGGGCACGTCTGCATGCGTGGCACGAGCCATGTGATCCACATTCGCGCAACTGATATTATCATTGATTATCCAATATGCGAGATGAACAATGCAGTGAACGGCTGGGTTATGTGCAGCACATGTAGGGTTATCTATGGATTATCTATGCTATCTATGGATATAATATTATCATAGGCGTAGCCCATGCATCACCGATGACATGAGTATGACCCCCGATCACGCGGATAATCAGGGATAACTGCCTATCTCCGCAGAAGGTCCGGAAACTCCATGACAAACCAAATCACCAGATCCGCCTTCCGAGGACGTCAGGAATTGTCCCCTCTTTCTTCCCCACGCCGAGGATCCCTTCAGGGGTCCGGTGCGGGGGGGAGGGGGTGTCGGCCGACGGGTCAGTGCGTCCCGCACGCCGGGGAAGTCGATGACCTTCCTGGTCGACTCTCCGAAAAGCGCCGGGAGTAGAAAACCATGTTTCCATAGTCGGCCGCAGCAGCTGACGTAGACAGAACAGTCGGTGAGCAGGTGCTTACCGCGGTCTGGGTTCTCCTCAGGCAGGACAGTGATCGTCTCGTACCAGGAGTTACTGCCACAGCATTGCAGTAGAGTGTCTCGCGTTAGGGGCGAGAAAAACGTCCACGACTTGGAGAGGGTAACTACCAGCGCGTCAGGTTGCTGTGGTTCGAGGTGGTTGCCAGGTGTGGATGGGGCTCGCGGGCTCTTGCGTGGGCGCTTCCATGTCATGGCATCGGACGACAGCTCAGACGCTGGTCATGTCGATGGCGACAGCTGCTGGGTTTTAGCCGCGGCTTCTGCAGCCACGCGGCCTGGCGCGCTGCTGTCATTCCCCACATGGCCCGGCGCCCACGTCAGCGAGATTATCATCTTTTGTTCTCCATGGCGTGCAGGAGTCTTCACGCTTCCGCGGCCAGCATTGGGGCTCGCACAGACGGTCCCCACTGTGGCAGCAGGACGCGAGTCTGGCGTGTGAACTGCTGGTGTGCTCATGGAAGGCTCGCCGACACAGCCAGCGCCTCTCGGACCGCCATTAACTCGACCGTCTGCCCGTCGCGGACTGCTCCGGCAGCAACGCTCGCTTCCACGTTGGAGTCAAGGCAGCGCGTCGGCATCGCCGCTGCATGCGCCTCCCGTGGCCGGTCCGTCAGACCAGGCGGTCACGCCCGCCACTGGCAGCGGCTTGGTGCCCGGCCGCCTGGCCCTCGGTCGTCTGTCGGGAGGGTCGTCCGTCTGGCTGAGGTGGCAGGTCCATCCGCGAGCTGGAGCGATACGCCGCCGACATTCATCCGGTGGCTTCATTAGCGGGCGCAGGCCCACTTCTGCCTCCGCACGGACTCTGGTCCGGCACCCGCTTCAGCGCCATTGTCATCTTAGGTTAGCCAAGCCACGCAGCAGCCTGGTCTGCTCTGGTCTAACCTGGTCCGAGGCGTACTCCAATCTTGCAAAATGGACAGCGCACCAGCGCATCACTTGTTTGTTTGTTTCGCGTCCTGGTGCGGGGTTTGATTTCCCGTGCTGTCCGCCCTTTCTTCCACGTTGAGAGGCAGGTGGCGCAGTACAACAGCGGAGAGCATCCTAAGATCCCAATGACACCGACAGCAACTGGCGCATATCCATCGTTTTCATGTTGTGCACACTGTGTCGGCCTTCTAAAGAGCATGAATCACCACAGGCATCTTCAGGCTATTGTTTTTGCGATCACTTGCGTTGCGTAAGGCTAAATGAAGGGAACGGTGTGCGATAGACTCCGGTCAAATCCAGAGGCGAGAAAGCTATTCATACAGACTGTGCACCTGTGCCATAGAACTGTGCGCGTTTTGGGGGTCACCCAGCACAAAGTATCCCACCACACATGCTGGGCTCAGTCCACCAATGCATGGAGCGTTGCATTTACCCAATGTAAAATGGGAAAGCGTAGGTACGTGCGAGCGTGTATGCATTATATTAAAGGAGCACGAATATTCTGCAAAATATTCTGCAAAATGACTTCTCCATCTACCACATGGCCGAGTGATGAAGATAATTGATGCTCATCGTGTCCGTATTGTTTGTCTGCATGCGGGTCCTGCCTTCCGCAATATTGCGCAACATTGTGCAACTCCGCAGTTTGTGTTGACCTACCGGGCCCTTTTAGCGTTTCGATTTGAGGGGTGTAGTACTGCAGACATTTTGTTAAAACAAATCAGATGGCGTTTGTCTCATCAAAATTAGACAAGTTTAGGAAATGGGTGGAGGGGGACCAGGGAGATCTGTCCTGTCCCCAGGTTAACATAAATCTCACAGCCCGAAGAAAATAGGGTTAAACGACGGCTTGCAGGCACATGCATGATTACCTTACACGATAATGGGTAAACCTACCTGTATACGTGAGAGTAGTCACCATCGCGCGAACGCGTGCCGCGGGTTACTATCCAGTCACGGATTCTCCCGGCGGTGGATCCGGAACCGGATCCGACCCCGGCCTCCGGATCTCCTCGGCGCCGCTCGCGCCAGTTGTGCCAAGCCTCCTTTATGGCCTGGATCCTCCAATAGCCGCCGGTGTAGTCGTTCAGCTTCTCCATGGGTGTGCCACGGGCCCGCCCTCACCGGTCGCGATCTCCTCCGCCGCTGCCAGCCCCGGCTAAAAGCCAAGGGATCAGGCGTCGGGTTAGGACCACCCACCGGCACTGCAACCACCTCTGACGGCGACCTTCCAGTGAAAATAACCTCTGACGGCGACCTTCCAGTGCAAATATACGGACGACACGGAGAGCATCAAGGTTCGTGGCTGCTGGTGCCGATGTGCCAGGGGCACTAGTGCTAGTGTAGGCTGGTCATCGGCGACGATGTAAGGTTTCCACTCAAAATGTGTATCGCCAAAATGTTTGGACCTGGTCGTCCGTTCAAAGTTGCCCAGAAGAAATCACGACACAACTGCGACCTTTCTTTGTGCCAACAAACAGTGGTTGTTTTACCGTTTTCAGCCGTTCACAGTCCTACACGCGGGTCCGCCTTCGCAGCCACTGTTCACCGTTCGCGTTCCTCTTCCGCGCCGACGTTCGTCACCACCGCACCACACCTCCGTCCGCCGTCCCGGCGCACCACTGTTCGCGCGCCGCCGCTCCAGCGTCGAAACCGACGAAGCCTCCGACGCGGCCGCCGTCTTCCGGCCGTCGGCGCCGCCGCCAGATAGCGCGCAACGGCCAATAAGACGATAAAAGGAACACTACTCGCTTCTCATATTCGCCCTTTATAGCTCGGGATAGCGCTACAAATATTTGTTTAGCGGCGTAAGGCTTCAATGACGTGGGCGCGGCGGGCGGCGGGCGGCGCCGGGGAGCGCTGGCGGTGAACTGAGGCCAGCGGCGGCGCGCACCGGCCCACCAACAGGCTGTGGCGGCGGCCGGCGCCAGCGGCAACGCAGGAACGCAGCTCAACCGGCCCGTCACCAGAGCCTGGCGGCGCGCACGCCTGTGGCCGGCTGGTGGTCGTAGAGCGGCCGCCCGCTAGGGCGTAGACGGCGAGTAGACGGTCGCCGCTCGCTGAGGCGTAGACGGCGGGTAGACGGTCGCCGCTCGCTGAGGCGTAGACGGCGGGTAGACAGTGGCCGCTCGTTCGGGGTACACGGCGGGTAGACGGTCGCCGCTCGCTGAGGCGTAGACGGCGGGTAGACAGTGGCCGCTCGCTCGGGGGTGCACGGCGGGTAGGCAGTGGTCTGCGGTGGGATTGGTCGTGTCGCCGAATAGCCGCAACTTGTCTTGTTGCGCTGGTGATGCCTGGAAGAAATGCTCGTATTAGCCGGGCGTACTGTATTGGGTGGCTGCCTGGTTGTGCAACATGTAAGGTCGTCAGAGGTGGCGTGCGACACGGAATGCAGGTTGCATTACAGTTTCAAGATGCCACGCGATAACGACTGATGCTAGGCTTGAACTGGTTTTACCACAGCTATCACAATGCATGGCTGTCTAAGGCAACGCTGTCGTGAACTTTGATGCGAATGATTTGGAAACACAGCTTCGAGATGGGACTTAGTGGTGCCAGAGTGCGTGGTCTTTAAGGGTTTCGACATCGTCCATATGTTTTTGCAAATCTTGCTGTCATGTGCCTAACAATACTGTCAGTTTTTTGCCACATTTATATCGAGCAAATCGAAAGGTTTCTCCACTCCTGGCAGCACGCTCCATGCCAGTTTCCTGAGCATAAGTCGCCAACGATGACCGAAACCCTATAGGGGAGATGCATGACGTTGTCTGGGATCAATACGGGCCGGCGGATGGCACTTGGCCGCGTCACCAGTATGTGTGGCTCCCAGAAGTGCCCTCTCTGATTGCACGCCGCCGGAAGCGAGCGGAGCACGGCGCCGCGATCGGAGAAGCTGGGGACGGGACCAAGAGCACGGTTTCTCAGATCCTCGCCGGTTCGGCTGGAGTAAATGCGACCACAGAACAAGCGTTCCAAGACCGATGATAGGCGGCCATGGTCGTTTATGAGCTTGTCTGCTGTAGCTCTGAATTTTTACTCGAAAAAAAACATTTTGCGCGCACTTCTTTGGAAGGGAGAAGAAACAGGCGCATTGGACAGTGGAACATAGTGCCATTATTTCATACAAAATCCTGAGTTTAAGCGTACCGCGCCCGGTATGATGGCCGTCATATTTCATAACCACTTTCACATTTCATGAAATCGTGTTATTTATGTGAATGGTTTGGCTTTTTTATGTTTACAAGCAGAAGGCTAAATTTGTGGATCTACCACAACAACAACAACATGGTCGCAGTGACTTTGACTTTACTGTCTTCAGCAAATTTTGTTCGAGTTCACAGTCCTCGTAAGTCATCATATATTATGTATGATTCCCATAGTATGGCTTCCCTGACCATGTAAACAACATGCAACACAAATATAGCAGATACCACACCAGATATCCAGGACCTAGGTCCGTCTTTCTTCGCCTAGCCAAGCTTATACCATTTTCCAGCAGTTAGTCGCGGTTTGCCCCCTGATACCAGCGTCAGGTCTTCTGTAAACAGCCGTGGCACTGAGGCTTACACAGGGTTTGGCCTCCTGGTATCAGCGAGAGCTCTACTGTAGCAGCCGTGGTACTGAGGTTAACACAGCGTTTGGTCCCTGGTATCAGCGGGAGGTCTTCTGTAGACAGCCGTGGCACTGAGGCTAACACAGCGTTTGGCCCCTGATATCAGCAAGAGCTCTACTGTAGACAGTCCTGACAGTAAGGCTAACGCAGCGTTTCGCCCCTGGTATCAGCGAGAGCTCTTCTGTAGACAGTCATGACACTGAGGCTAACACAGCGTTTGACCTCTGGTATCAGCGGGAGCTCTACTGTAGACAGCCGTGGCACTCAGGCTAACACAGTGTCCGTCCAGCTCTCTTGTTTGGCAAATTGTGTCAGCTGTTGGACCCCGGCAAAGGTGGCCTGTGCATTCTGTTTGAACACATGGCTGCGACGACCGCGAATGGTCATAACTTGCCACTGGACTCCATTTGGCTCTGCACGCAATGAGTCAAGAGCGTGTAACTCATTGTGCACAGAGCGAAAGGGAGTGTTCCACATTTATATGGGTTTTTAAACCGAAATATCTGTCTTGAAGACCTTTTTCTGCAGCTCATAGCCCTGCCCTTCTTAATATATAAACCCCGTAATTTCTGAGCTTCATGCCCGCGAAAATGAGGAGAGCATTTCGGGTTAATTTGAGACCATCCTGACACTCATAACGTCATAATAACATCCTTCAAATCCCGACATTTCATAAGCCATGCGGCGATCAACGTGGAGAAAATATAATGGTCGAGTTTTTTATATCTGGCGTTCGTGAGCACGATACCCGGATAAAACGGACGTCAACTGGCTGTCAATCAATGCTGTGCAAGGTACGATGACATAACCAAATAATGACTATCGAGGAGCATATTCACTAAACAGAGAAATTGCGGCGTTTAGGATAGTCTTCTCTTCTTAAAAGTACATCAATAAGTGAGCTTGTATCTCATGTCTGATGCTTTCTTCAATATCTTCAAATGTGAAACATTCCCTTCAAACGTGTTATTGACCAGGTGAACAGCTGATAGTGAGGACACCGACGAGGCAAAGCCGCGCAGATTTTTACATCAGTTTCCTTTGAGCCCGTTTGGATAACGGCCCTACCTGTTGACACGATGGCGGTTAGGATGTGAAAACGGTGGGACAGGGAGCTGGGCCATCCTTACTTAAGATTGTGCTAAGTTCGACCGTTGAGCCAATTGAGGCATTCATTCTGGTATTTGCATGCATGACCTCTTAAACTTGCACTTTGCCTATGAGGCCTCCTTACCTTGTACTTCGCGTTTGATGTCCGTTATAGATCGGGAGTTTTTCGAGACAGCGGTGCGACTGACCGACAGACAAAGCAGAGCATGACGGGGATATCAATTAAGGATATGACCGTGGGATATAGGACACGAGTGTTCGTGTGGGGGGGGGGGGGGGGGGGAGGGGAGAGGTGTAGGCGGGTCAGAGAAACGCAGACAGAGGCACGACGAAGAAACGGAGAAGCGGAAGCACGGAGCACAAAATGGCAAGACCACAGGAGATCTTAGGGAAAAGAAGCTGGGACAACGAATGGTCGGTATGGTGCGATCTCCTGTCAGAAAGATTTGAATGATTTGGGCCGCCGGAAAGACGGTGGACAGGCTAGCGGTAGAAGCAGGCCGGCAGGCTGACGTTCTACGATAGCTGTGCACACTGCACACGTACAACCATTGTGTTCGGTTGGCCCATTATCCTTCCAAAAGAAACAAATACGTACTGCACCTCTGAAGAACACCAATCCCAATTTACAAGCTAGCAACTTTCTACAACACCGTGTGTCTAGTTGCGGTGGAGAGTACACACACGCCTACTTATAGCATGCATGTGCATGCATGATATGTAAATATCTACATGGTAATATGCAGGTGGCTAACCTATATATATATATATATATATATATATATATATATACATATATATATATATATATATATATATATATATATATATATATATATATATATGTATATATAGGGTGTAAAGGGTGCAAAGGACCAGTCCACAGGCCGGTCTACAGTCCAGCTGCTTTAAGGAACTTGTGATTGGCGGTCACAGCTTGCTTCTGATAGGGATGGTGAGCCACAAATCTGTATTGTTTCACAGAAAGATCTTTCAGAGAATGCAAGCCACTGCCTGTGTAAGATAGTGAACACATGCAATGACTCACATTGGCTCCGATAGCAAACATACATACGCTGTATAATTATATATATATATATATATATATATATATATATATATATATATATATATATATGTGTGTGTGTGTGTGTGTGTGTGTGTGTGTGTATGTATATATGCCTTCTTATATAGATATATATAGATATATATATATATATAGATAGAGGGAGAGAGAGAGAGAGAGAGAGAGAGAGAGAGAGAGAGAGAGAGAGAGAGAGAGAGAGAGAGAGAGAGAGAGAGAGAGAGAGAAGAGAGAGAGAGAGAGAGAGAGAGAGAGAGGAGAGAGAGAGAGGAGAGAGAGAGAGAGAGAGAGAGAGGAGAGAGAGAGAGAGAGAGAGAGAGAGAGAGAGAGAGAGAGAGAGAAGAGAGAGAGAGAGAGAGAGAGAGAGAGAGAGAGAGAGAGAGAGAGAGAGAGAGAGAGAGAAGAGAGAGAGAGAGAGAGAGAGAGAGAGAGAGAGAGAGAGAGAGAGAGAGAGAGAGAGAGAGAGAGAGAGAGAGAGAGAGAGGAGAGAGAGATATATATATATATATTATATATATATATATATAATTATACCACGTATGTATGTTTGCTATCGGAGCCAATGTGAGTCATTGCATGTGTTCACTATCTTACACAGGCAGTGGCTTGCATTCTCTGAAAGACCTTTCTGTGAAACAATACAGATTTGTGGCTCACCATCCCTATCAGAAGCAAGCTGTGACCGCCAATCACAAGTTCCTTAAAGCAGCTGGACTGTAGACCGGCCTGTGGACTGGTCCTTTGCACCCTGCCATGACAGCTTTTATAAAATGTAAGATTGTGCGTGCCTATTCTGTGCGCTTTACTCTGCGCGGGCATGGGTCTGTATACAACCTCTTACATAT